CCCCTTCATCCACCCACCCCCCGGAGTATTCTTCTACGTACCGAATGAATCCGCGCTGATCAGAATTTGTTTTAATCGATTTACCGAGTCAGCCCGCCCACAGGCACACAGGCTCTCGTTCCTATCTCCTCGTTGTGCCCCGCTCGTTTCACGAGCGCCGAACCGAACTATTCGCCAACCGCACCGCGGAGTACCCGAAGTATTCGCATTACCAGCGGGGATTCACCGCGTTCGGCCGCCTCCGTGATCGGGGTTTCCAAGGGGAGCACCCACAGACGAGACGAGATGAGACAAGAACGAGAGGAGGAGGAGGGAGGAGAGAGAGAGAGAGAGAGAGAGAGAGAGAGAAGATGGAAGATATAGAACGGCGCTCTCTCGTTGCGGCATTAGATACGGGGCGAGCAGAGTTATACGGCAACCGGGCCCGCTCGTGCGGCTACGCGCCGCGAAATTGACTCGCTCATCCGTGTACACCCTTATAGGGACCCCACGACTGCGCAATCCATTACGGCGCCATTCGGGTTACCGGGCATCGCGGTGGACCCCGTTGCGGTACGGGGGCTTTTTGTTTCTACCGAGTTCTCTATGCCGTGCCGGCAGAGTTCACGCAAACGAAGCCGAAGTCCGTCCGACACTTCACGTCCGCAGTGGAAATGGGGTTTACGTCAGGCACGAACGGACATCTACGAAAGCATTTCCCGCGCGATCCTCTCTCGTTTCGCGCGCGCACACACCGGAGACGTTTCTCCTGCCGGGCGGACGGGGACGCGCGGAAAAAGGAGGAATCCGCTAGTGCTAGGGCCGGATTTCCGGCTACAGACAGGCCAGTTGCCGTCGCGTCACGTTCGGACGTATTTATTGGAAAGGGACGATCGTGAAGTTCGAAATTGCGCGCGCGATCGGCACATTAAAACTTCGATCTCGTTACAAGCTTAGATGTCCTACGATGTCCCATCCATACCCAAGCTTCTGTATTATGTATTATTGGCCATTCGCGTAAATTGATAGTGGCTCGAAGAAAATTCCTGGTAATAGATATTTTTCATAAGAGAAGAACTTTCTATTTTATATAAAATCTAAATCTTTTTTTTTAATTTAAGATACGCTTAACTATTTTAAAACAATACAAAAAATGATAGAGAGAGAGAGAGAGATCTTAGCATATAATTATTGACTGTAAAAAAAAATTATTAAATTATTACCAACTATATTACATAATTTAAACATAAAAAAATTATATTAATCATAAAAGAAAAGACTAAATTAATGCAATAAAAATTTAAATATATCGTAATTACGTTATCATATCAATAAAAGCGAATAAATCCCTTATTAAAGTTATGTATTCTCTTTCTGATAAGAAAACAGCTCTAATTTATAACTTATATTCTCTTTCATCGCTGTTTTCAAAGTATTAACCAATAAAAAATATATGAGTGTGAGCGTAAGAAATAAATAAGCGGATGAGATAATTCGGATGACTGTTAATGTAAAAATACATTCATGCATTCCCATCATCTCTCTGCGTTTCAGGATGAATAAAGATTCATGTATCCTCATTCACGGTCGATATCAATATTTTATGCCATACTTCGAGATACGCATTGAATGCGGAAACGATTTTAGAGCATCATCTTCCCGAGAACATTTGCATTCGTCGCATCGAGTTCGGATATATTTACAATCACTAAAAATAAAATCGAGAAATAGTCACGAACGAGTCGGAGGTTAATACTCGTTACCGCGATAATAATGACCCAAGTTTCTCGTTGTCATCACGAGGCACGAGAGATGACACATCACAGCAAACTGCGCATTAAAAAGAACTTTATAGCTGACAAAACGAGTAAAACGAAACGAGATTTTCTCGGTGAATAGTTTCGGACGAACGAAAGTCGGTATTATTTGCGCCATTGTCGAGATTCATGTGGAATAAAATAGCGGTAAAAATGTTTCGGGCCGTTTCAATAAGAATTACGAGGCTGACCAGTGTATGACGGTACACAGTTATAAAACCGAGAAACTCGACAAATTGGAGTGCTGAGAGGAAGAAGGAAAAGAGGAAAAGGAAAAAAGAGAAGAAAAAAGTCCATTTAAAGAGAGAGAGAAAGTACGGTAAAGTAAAATTGATTCGCTGCTCTGGGACACCAAGTCTTCTCAGAAAGCTTATACATGATATATAAGTACATATATGTAATAAATAACTATATAAAAAAACTATTAAAAAATTAATAAATATATGAGTAAAAAAATACAAGACAGATGATAATCATAATTGATACAAATGTATATATTTGTGATGGAGAAAAATAGATGGAAAAAGTATATATTGGAAACAATAATATTTATAATAATATTTTTAGTATTAAATGTTAAAAATTTTTTCAAAACAAATTATCATTTTATCTTGGAAACGTTTTTTAAGAGAACATTGGGATTTTTGTATTCGTTAACAAATTTATCACTAAATACTTCAGATAAAAGTTCTAAAACAGTAAAGTCCATAATTTAGAAGATAGATCATTTTCAAGCGTGACCCAATTTCTCTATGACAAATTAAATTTGTGGATTTAAATTGAATATAAAGATAAGAAGATAGAGAAGGAAAAGCGATACACTTAAATGACAATGTAATTACATTTCCACCCCCATTGCTTTGTGTTCCATTGCATCTACAGTCATTGTTATTATACTCTATGCGGAGTGTTCGCGTGCAAATAATAATTATCTCAAGTCGGTCTCAGAGCGCGGAGACAACGACACGTGCAATATATATGTATATATGATAGATATATACATCGCGCCCAGGGATTATTTATTATCACGCCGGCGTATCTGCGAGAAGGAGAGAAACAAGAGAGAAGTTCGGTTTGCAAATAATACGAAAAATCGATCTCGTCATTGCCGCAGGTATAATGGCACGATGAAGATCCCATCTTCCCTTCAGATTGTACCGACGACGTCGTTCTTTGCTGTTATGTCCCTTCCCGGCCGGATACAGACGGAGGACGCTTTTGTCCGTAGAGACGCAAAAAAAGATAAGAGATCTTACCGCGACGATATATACGAAAGAACGTTGTCGCAAGGCATGTCGGAAATGTACGACCCCCAGGATGGCTTTTAGTCGGATATACTTCTATAGAGTAAAAACTTTTGTCGTTGCATTTGTCGATGAGAGTATTCTCTTTCAGGTACCTCTGGCTCCCACCCGTATTCTCTTCCTTGCTCCTTTCAATTCTTTCTAATGTCTCTCGCCTTTACCATTTTAATTTTCCACCTCAAATTTATACAGCAAAAACGGTCCTCCTTTCTATACGTCACTATTCGTCTTTATACGATAAATTCTGCGTTCGTCTATTATTTTTATCTATAATTGTGAAAAAAAAAAAAATTGCAAACGTACCTCGTTTGTTGAGCTGATCTTCTACTACAACGGCGGATATCATGAAGACATTGCCCACGCTCCCGCCGACGGCGAGAGAGGCCAACAACAGAAGTCGGGCGACTCTGGACCAGGCCGACGACAAGGTGACCGGCGAAACATAATTAGCGTCGATGACGCCATTTAACGCCTTGTTCAATTCTATTTCAGATTGGGCACTGATGACGCTTGCCGCGGTGCTCGTCGCAACGTTATATATTGCCGTTACATTCATTCTGAAACTGAGAAGAATACGAATTATTGTTTATAGAATTATACGTTTAAATAAATAATAATGGATAAATCTTTGTTCTTTAAGATTATTTTATAATATTATACTAATCAGCGCAAAATTTTTGATTAAAAATTATTTTTATTCATTTTTAAATACAAATTAAAATTGCGTTTGGTGTCTAAAGTCTATTATCTCTATGATTAACGCACGGATGATTTTAGCGGCAAATTCAACAAAGTCTAACTTTGATGAGCAACACATCGCATCTCTCATCAATTTAAGGGACGGCTCATGGCGGTCTTCAAGACTGAAATACGGAGGAAACGAGGCTGAAGCTATTCGATATCACACTATTACACGGAGAGAGGCCTTTTGAAGATTAGGGCCGACAAGACTATACCGACCACCCTAATTGTGAATTATCGATCGGACTAGTGTGGGGATAGTCACCTGTTCCGACCATGGCCCATGTTAGGTTTCTACAATGTCCTCGTTGTCGCTAACAACATCTGCGCAATATCATGGTAATTAGCAAATATAAGTGTCATGCACGCAGTCAGATAACAGCTGACGTTATACGCAATATTATGCAGTTTTAAAAAAACAATCATTTAGTTCAAAATGCAATTCAATTTAAAAATTCATGATGCTCGTCTCTAAACTGTCCTTTGTTAAACGTCACACAGTTTATTTTTACTTAAATGATTAAATTTATTGATCGTTTCCATAACTTCTTTATATAAAATATTGAATTCTTTTTTTAAATATTATGCGTGTGTATCTGACAAAAACATCCATACATTTGCAATGTACTATATATTTATTGCATATTTCAAATTATCAGCGTTAATTTAAATTGTATTATGAATAACGAAACTGCTTTGCTATTCTGCATATAAATGGAATCGTCTTGATCGTATCTACAGCGTTTCCAAAGCGAATTTTAAATTTTTATTAGCAAATGCAGCCTCGGGTGGCATTGAAATGTTTAACACGCCGTATTTTGCCGGTCGACGAACGCAAAGAAATTGATCGCAAAAATTGCGTTTAATAATAAAGCTGCATCATCGCTCTTTCT